GCGACTTTAAGCTAGGTACTTGCTGAATGGTAGAGTCTGACACTTACTTATTCAAACCAAGAGAAGAGGCATTCCAGAAAGCGGGAGATATTCACACAGACATATTCCAGGCTTGAGAGGCCGAGAGTCATTCTGCCTCAGAGGCAGCGCATGTGTGTGCTAAGTCGCTCGGTCGTGTCAGACTCTCTGTGACCCTATGCACTGTAGCCCGCCAGACTCCTCTGTCCATGGGATTCTCCAGGCAAGAATTCTGGAGGGGGTTGCCATGCCTCCTCCAGGGAATCTTCCCAACCCAGGGATCTTATGTCTCCTGCAATGGCAAGCAAATTCTTTACCCCCAGCGCCACCTGGGAAACCCAGAGGCTAAAGGACCTGTGAAGATGCCTCTCAGCCTTTGGTTTTGTGACTTCCTTGATTTTGCAAACATACCCACAAGGAGTGATAGATTTTTGATGTTTACTAGAAGAGACACCCTTCTTATAAGCTCCAGAACCCTCATCATGATAGGGTGTCGTGACTACCATCTCTCTTTCCAACTAGAACATAGATTCCAAGAGGGCAGGACCTTCTCAGACCCACTCACGCCTGCACTCGCAGCCTAGGACAGCTCCTGCACAAGAGAGGTCCTCAGCGGAGCTCCCTGGCGGTCCTGTGGCTAAGACCCTGTGATCACAATGTAGGGGGCCCAGGTTCCATCCCTGGCTGGGGAATTCTACCCCACATGCCGCAATGAAGACTGAAGATCCCACATGCTGCAACCAAGGCCCAGGGCTGCCCTGGTGGCTCAGCTGGTGAAGAATCCGCCTGCAATGTGGGAGACCTGGCTTCGACCCCTGGGTTGGGAAGATCCCCTGGAGAAGGGACAGGCTACCCACTCCAGTATTCTGGCCTGGAGAATTCCACGGACAGTCCATGGGGTTGCAAAGAGTCAGACACGACCAAGCGACTTTCACTTTAAATAAATAAAAAGAAAAGTACTCAGCACAGCACTGAGGAAGTGAATGAATGAATGGATTAAAAAGTGCAGGGTCCATCAGCGAGGAGAGCTGCTTCTAAAAGGGGAAGAGAAGGGAGAAACATGAGCTGGGGTTAAATCCTGGGCTCTGTGAAGCGCTGTGTCCATTTAGTTCCTTTCATCACTGAGCAATGAACACTCACGACCCTCCTTTAGATGCTGAGAACACAGCAGTCAAGACAGGTCCTCACCCTCACAGAACTTATCGTCTAGTGGGAGGAAGCAAACACGCCAACAATAAATGGAAAGTGTGCAGTGTGTCAGGTGGTGCTATTTTCTGCTGAGAACAACTTGGGAAATGAGGGCTGGAGGGGATCTGTGCAAGTGTCATCTTGTTACTAATCAAGCAGTTAGTAAGACAGCCAAGCAGAGGCCAGAGGAAAAGGACGGAAGTTAGGGGGAGATCTGTGTGGTGACGTGAGGTTCTCCAGGCAGAGGCAACAGCAGGTGCAAAGGTCCTGAGGCAGGAGTGTCCTTGGTGCTCAAGGAACAAGAAGGAGCCCAGTGCGCTGAAACAGAGAGAGTGAGGGGATGGTGGAGGAAAGGAGACCAGACGAGAGGCAAGGACTCCCACGACAGGGCCTGCACTTTTCTCTTTTTGGCTACACCTCCCGGCTTGTGGGACCTTAATTCCCTGACCAGGGATCGAACTCGGGCTCACAGCAGGCAAAGTGCTGCGTCCTAGCCACTGGCCGCCAGGGAACTCCCAGGGATCGCCATGGCTGCAGTGTAAGATCGAAAGGAAGCAAGAATGGGCTCAGGAAGCCAGAGGAGGATCAGTGCCATAGCCTGGGCATCAGATGAAGGGCTCAGCCACTGGGGGAGGGGGCGGGGGCAGCCACTGACACAGGAGAAGCGGTCAGGCCCTACGTGTGTTTTGAACACAGAAAGCACACAGCGTGTGCAGCGAGAGGGAAAGAGAGGCGTCCAGGCTGCCGCCAAGGTTCCTGGCCTGAGCAATGCACATCAAGTAGTCGATATAAGGAAGTCAAGTTAAGGACCACGTCTGGAGCCTGGAAAAAAAAATCCCCAATTCTGCTGGGGGTGAAGTAAGTGAGTGGTCCAGGCTGGGAGTCATCAGCGTGTATGTGGTACCTCCGGGCACGGGATGGGACGAGCTCACTAAGGAAGTGAACGTGGGAAAAAGCAAGGAGGTCCGAGGACTGAGGCCGGGGAGTGCCTCAGATGGCGGCACAGCAGGAGGACCCAGCAGAGGAGACCGAGGGGGAGAGCCAGTGGCGCAGAGCACCCAGGGCGGTGGCCGGGGAGCCGGGTTTTAAGGGCACGTCACCGCCGGCTCGGCAGACCCGGGCTCTGCGCTCGAACCTCCCAGACCAGACGTGCAACCGTGGGCAAGTGGCCTCCCCTCATCGACCCCCAGCCCTCCAGCTGCAAACAGCGATGGGGGTTACTGGCCCCTTCAGGCATCCGGGGATTCACTTAGCTCACTGCCCGGCACATCGTGGGTGCTCAAAGGCTGGACAGCTGCCCAGGTGCTAAGGCCACAGCCTCGGGCTCCGTCCTGGTGCCCGGGGACTGCCCCAGTAGCTCAGGGGTAAAGTCTGCCGACGCAGGAGACACGGGTTCCATCCCTGACCCGGGAAGATCCCGCACGCCATGGGGCAACTAACCCCGTGAGCCGCAAGGAGAGAAAAGCTCACGCAGCAACGAAGGCCCAGCACAGCCAAAAACAAATCAATAAAATTATTATATTTTAAATTCAAGTGCCAGCTGGCTAGCTTCACAGAAAGAAAATCTGTTTCACAGGCACTGCTGTAACCAAGAATCTAGACCTCTCCACTCCAGCCCCACCAAGACCAGCCAGCTCCACCTCCTTAGTCATTAGGGCAGAGTGGGACGGGCAGATGACCTTGGATGGTGAATGAACACCCGACAAAATAACTGACTCACAGAGTGAGAACAGGGGCCTTTAGAGCACCCTCCCAGCTCCTCTGGTTACGTCCAGAGAAAGGCTCATGCCGATGCTGCTGTATCTTTAACATCCCTCCAGCATCTAACGAAGAGAAAGCAGGCCTTGGGCTCAGCGTCGCCAGCCATCCAAGCTGGACTTCAGCGACGCCGCTGGGGCTGCTGCAGCCGCACTGAAGCTGCGGTTCTGATCCCCTTCTATCTCTGGCAAGGATACTGATGTTTCCGTTAGAAGTTTTCTTTCTAAATAAATTCATGGAAGTAAGAAGATGAGATGACTCCAAGAAAATGCTAAGTACATATGGCTGCAGACTCGCAGGCTGCGTGAGGCTGGGCGGCAGGATAGCAAGGCAGATGCCCGAGGCAGTTCCCAAAAGCCTGAAGTCTGGGAAACGCTCCTTTACAAGAACCCAGGGAGAGGGCGTGGACAGCCCATGGCAGCCATCCTGAAGCTCGAGAACCAAGTCAGGGTCACAGCCACCTGCAGAGACTGGAGAAGGTTCTCCAGTGAGTATAGATCAGCAGAGAGAGCGGGCTGCAGCCAAGGTCTCCTGTCCACCCAGGACGCCATCATCCCAGCTGATGGGCCTCACTGCAGGGGAGACACGGATGAGCCACTTGGGGGCTGCCAGCCAGGATGGCAGCCTCTCAGCCCCGTCTACCCAGTAAGCGCCACCCCAGGGACCTCCCACCCTGAGACACCTCCCACACCTGAGGCCACACCTAGAGGACACTAGAGAGCCCCGCTGGGACCTTCTTGGGACCTGTGGTCTAATTCTCTGGGGCTCAGGCCTGGGCAGTCTGAATGCCCATCCCTGGGCAGCAGGGTGCCAGGACTCAGGTGCTGTGGAACCCGCTCCACTCTAGATGCTGCAGGGCCTGCAGCTAAGAGCACCCACCCCATTCACAAGGACGCCTACTAGGTGCAGTGGAGATGGAAACCCACCCAGATAAGCCCAGCCCCTGTGGGAGCTTACACGCCGGCGAGGGAGCAGACAATGAACAAACCAGGAAATTAACTGGGGGTCAAGATGGAGGTAGCAGACGGCGGGGAGGTCTGCAGACAGGTGGTCAGGGTGGGCCTCTGGGAAGGAGTAACCTGTGAACTAGAGTCAGGCAAGGACAGCCCCAGGGGAAGAACATTCCAGAGGGCACAGCCAGTGCAAAGACCTGGGCACACAGCCTGGCGCCTTCTAGCAGCGTCAGAAGGACACAGGGCTGGTGCAGAGAAGCAGGGAGCGGGTAGGGGAGGAGGTGCAGCTGGAGAGGCTGGCAGGCCCGGGTCCCAGGCCAGAACCTGGCCCGGGTCTCCTCTCCATCCTTAGAGCCATGGGAGCCGCTGAAGGGTCTGAGCAAAGGGGTGAGGGGATCGCCCTTTCGTTTCTCTTTGTGCAGAAAATGGACAGGAGTGGGTCTGGGGTGGAGGCAGTGGGAGGCAGCAGGAGACGATCAAAGGCTCCCCGGTAAGGGACTTCCCTGGTGGGCTGGTGGTTGAGAATCCCTCTTCCAATGCAGAGGACACAGGTTCAGTCCCTGGTTGGGGAAAGAAGAGCTCATGTGCTGTGGGGCAGCTTCCTGGACACCTCACTGAAGACCCAGCACAGGAAGAAAAGAAAAAGGCTCCAAAGTAAGAAGCAATAGTGGCTTGGATCAGGAGATCAGAAAGGTGTCCTTGGAGATGACCCAGGTATAGAGGGGCTTGTGAATGAATCCCCTGAGCATGAGAGAGAAATTATTCCTGAGTTTCTGGGCCACGATGCCATGACGGTGCCATCAGCCGTGATGGGAAGATGGGTGAGGAGCAAGTGGAGAGAGTTGGGACCCCCTGAACACCCTGCTGCACGTTACCCTTGGGAAAACTGCCCACATCCTGGCGGGTCCTGTGGACGGTTGGGCATTGAGTCTGGACTTCAGAAGGAAGATGGGCGCTGGGAACGACCACTTGGAAGTGCCAGCAATTGTATACTGAGCCATGGATGCCCAGTGGGCGCCCAATGATGCTCATTCCTCTCCGTCCCCCACGCCCGGGTCTCCCTGCGAGCCCCCGCCTCCATACCTGCAGCGTCTCCAAGGCCTGGCCGGCAGTGCCAGTGGTGAGGGAGGCCACCTGGACGGCCTGCTTGCGGGCGGCCAGCAAGATCCTGCTGTAGGTGAAGCAGATGGCGCCGGAGGGCAGGAAGAAGGTGAGGCCCGACGCCACGAGGACGAAGGGCAGGCTGGCCAGCAAGCGGCACTGATCCGTCGCGGGCGCCCGCGCGCGGCCCGGCTCATGCCAGCCCAGCAGCAGGGGCAGGAAGGAGGCGAGCGCGGCCAGGCTCCAGGCACCGAGGACCAGCGCCAGGGCGCGCGCGGGCGTCATGCGCAGCTTGTAGCGCAGCGGCGAGAGGATGAGCAGGTAGCGGTCCAGGCTGATCAGGCAGAGGTTGAGGATGGAGGCGCTGCAGCACATCACGTCGAAGGCGGCCCAGAGCAGGCAGAGGCGCTGCGCCAGCACCCAGCGGCCGTACAGCACGTTCAGCATGGCCGGCGGCATCACCACCAGCCCCACCATCAGGTCCGACGTGAAGAGCGACACCAGGAAGAAGTTGGAGGTGTTGCGCAGCGCGGGCTGCGCGCAGATGACCGCGATGAGCAGCGAGTTGGCCGCCGCCGTCAGCGCGATGACCGCACACAGCGCGGCGGCCACCCAGCCGCTGCCCCCGGGCGCCCGCGGCGGCCCCGACCCCCAGTCCGGGGTGCTGTGGTTGGCGGGGACCTGCTCTGGGACCATGGGGGCGGAGGGCGAGGACGTGAGGCCCCAGAGGGGTTGGGAGGGCGAGGAGGCTGGCTGGTGGGAAGGCGGGGAAGGCGGGGAAGGCGGGGATGCGGGTGGGGGGACTCTGGGTCAGGGTCAGCACCCCGAGGGGGATGGAGAGGGGGTCCGGGGGCGTCCTCGGGTGTGATGTAGAAACACCTGGAGCGAACACCTAGGTAGGAAGTTTGGGAGGGGCACCTGAGGAGCAGAGACCTCCAGCAGGACCGAGAGGCAAGTCAGGAGGACGGGGCCGGGGACTCGGGGCCTTTGGCCGGGTGGGCGCAGAGCTCCTGGAAGGGGCGGGCGGTGAGATGGGTCGAGGGCAGGGCCCCGGGGAGGTGAGAGCCCAGGGCCACTGGGCGCTCCCCAAGCCGGGGCAAGCCCCTCTCGGCGAGTGGACACAGAGGCGCCAAGGAGCACCCGGGGTGCTGGGGGTCGCAGGCTGGGGGCCCCACGGGCCAGAGCCAAGCCCCTGGAGGGGAGGACAGGTCTCGGACCCAGCGCAGAGGCACCCCGGGCTCTGGCGGACGCGGTTCCCGCGGCGAGCTGGAGGATGCCGGCTGGGAGAGAAGGACCCCCTCCCCACCCGGCCGCGGGTCTCTGGTCCCGCTCCCTCCCGGGCTCGGTACCTGGAGCGCTGCTCCGCCGCCGGCGACTGCGGCAGGAGCCGCGGGCCCGGGAGAGGCAGCGGCGGCCGCGGGCCGGGCCGGCGCCCAGGGACCCGGGAGACACCGCGAGGGCCCGGCGCGCGGAGGCGCGGTGGCTGCTTCCAGGAGCGCGCGGTCCCCGCGCTGCGGAGCCTGCGTCCCGCCCCGCGGTGGGCGGGCAGAGCCGAGCCCTGGCCCCGCAGGCGGGCGGGGTCCCCAGCACCCCGGGGCCTGCGGAGGGATGATCTGAGAGCCCGGCCGTGCCAGGTGGCCTCCCAGCTCTAGCGGCCTCTACCCCCACGCCTGCCCCGCCCCACTCACACTTGGCGCAGGAGGAACTCGGAGAAGGGGGCAGTGGGCCACCTTCATCCAGGACTGCTTCCAATAGGGGGCTGCCCACCCGCTACCAGGGCGAGCCGGTTGGGAGATAGTGGGTAGATCGCTTGACATGTATGTTCATATATGTTACACATATGTTGCTGTTGTTTAGTCGCTAAGTCCTGTCCTGACTCTCGCAACCGCATGGACTCTATCCTACGATTTCCTAGGCAAGAATACTGGAGTGGGAGTGGGTTGTCATTTCCTTCTCCAAGGGGTCTTCCCCGCCCAGGGGTGGAAGCTGCATCTCCTGCATTGATAGGCAGATTCTTTACCGCTGAGCCACCTGGGGAGCCCTATATAATATATAATTTGTTGCGCTTCCTGCAAACCTTTAAATAGATGGCAACCTCCTCCTGGAAGTCCTTCCCAGCAGAAACCATCCTGTCTCCCGACAGCGCCGGGCATACTAAGGATGAAGGATCAAGCTGTGGGCACTCTCACTCTACCAAGGAGTGGGAGCCAGGGACCCCCAGGCCCGGCGGGGTGGAGTCCCTGCAGGTAGACAGGCCTGGCACACCTTGTCTAAGGCTGCTGTGTGTATCCTTGCCTCCTCCTCTGCCCCTCGCAACTGGAACTACAAGTCTCTACTGGACATGTTACAGGTTAATATCATGGAATCAACAAACATTTATAGCGAGCACCTACTAGGTGTCAGACACTCTTCTGTCCAATTGGGACACTACAGAAACCAAAGCAAAGATCCAACTTCATAGAGTTTACTAAGCAAAAAAAAAACATTTAAGGTGGTCATAGGGTGATAATGAGGGTGATAATTGTGTGCGTGGTCAGTCGTGTCCGACTCTTTGTGACCCTAGGGACTGTAGCCCGCTAGGCTCCTCTGTCCATGGGATTCTCCAGGAAAGAATATTGCACTGGGTTGCCATTTCCTCCTCCAGGGGATCTTCTGAACGCAGACTGAACCCACGTCTCCTGCATCTCCCACATTATAAGCTGGATTCTTTACCACTGAGCCACCTGGGAAACCCAGAATGATCATTGCTATAGAAAAAAAGGAAATGGGGAAGAATGTAAAGAAAATCTCAGGTGGCTGGGGTCTTTTTCCTTCCACAGAAACAGGAATATAAGGCCTCCTGCTATGTTCCAGGGGCTTTATTTTATTATTCCAACCCACACAACAATGCTAAGAGGTAACTGTTAAACTGGGCTAGAAGAGGCCAAAGGCCTCTCTCAAGGTCACCAGCCGCAAGAGATCAAGTAGAACTGAAACTCAGGTCTGCCCAACACCCAGAGAAATTTCAAGACCCTGCATACCCTGTCCTGGGTTGCTGTGGGGCACCCAGAGTCCCATCCCTGCCCACAGCCGGGTCTATGGAGCGAGGAAAGGCTTTGGCCTCCCCTCCCAACACCACCTGCACCATCATGACACTTTCTGTCCTGCCTCAGGGAACAGGATACCAAGCTCTGGGCAGAGAGCCAGAAAGAGCAGACTTGGAATCCCAGCTCCGCTGCTAGCCAGCTGTGTGGACTTAGGACCAGCGACGCCATCTCCTCGGGCCACCGTTTGCTCCTCGGTAGTAACTAGCAGAACAAAACAGCACCCACCTCTCGGGGTTGCTGGCACCATCAGCAAGCCTATGGTGCTGTGTCAGTGTTCGCTGCTAGCCTCCGTGTTCCCATCTCTAAAATGGGAATGCATTCAGCTCTGCAGTAACTTCTTCAGCCCAGGGATTTTTTAAAAATTTTTATTTTATATTGGAATATAGCCAGTTGACAATGTTGTGATAGTTTCAGGTGGACAGCAAAGGGACTCGGGCATGCACACACATGTATCCATTCTCCCCCTAACTCCCATTCAGGCTGCTACATAACACTGAGTGGAGCTCCCCAGCCCAGGGACTTCCGATTGAGCAACAGCGAAGCTGAGAGGCACTGTGTGGGACACACTTCGGGGCCCAGTGTTGCTGGCATCCTTCAGTCATTCAGTCGTGTCTGACTCTGTGGCCCAAAGGGCTGCATCACGGCAGGCTCCTCCGTCCTCCACTGTCTCCAAGAGTTTGTCTGTGATGCTTCCTGGGTTCATAATCCCGATTCTGTTACTTGCTCTGTGACCTTGGCCAAGCTTTTTCATGTCTCTGCAGCTAGGAAACTGGGGTAGTGGACATACACCTGGGTTGAGCCTTGAAACCATTGGTATGGAGAATGTGCTTGGTCCATTTTAGCTTTGTGAAAATTAAAAGTATATAGTGAAGACTTCCCTGGTGGTCCGGTGGTTAAGAATCTGCCTGCCAGTGTAGGGGACACGGGGTCCATCCCTGGTCCAGGAGGGTTCCACATGAGGGGCAACTAAGCCCGTCTCCACAACTACTGAGCCAGTGATAACTGAGCCCACATGCCAACTGCTGAAGCCCACGGACTCTAAAAGCCGTGCTCCGCGGCAAGAGAGGCCACCGCAGTGAGAAGCCCGTTCTCTGCAACAAAGAGGAGCCCCAGGCTGCCACAAAGAGAGAAAGGCCACGGGCAGCAGGGAAGACCCAGTGCCGCCAAAACTAAGTCAAGTAAATACTTTTTAAGATGCTTAAGTATTTAGTGACATTGAATATTATTCCCTATGCTTTGGCCTTCCCAGGTGACGCCAGTGGTAAAGACCCTGCCTGCCAGCGTAGGAGACAGAAGAGCCTCCAGTTCGATCCCTGGGTGGGGAAGACCCCCTCTGGAGGAGGAAATGGCAGCCCACTCCGGTACTCTTGCCTGGAGAATCCCATGGACAGAGGAGCCTGGCGGGCTACAGTCCATGGGCTTTTGCAGTCAGACATGACTGTAGCGACTTAGCATGCAGGCGCCCTCTGCTTTGCCTCTTTCAGTTTGATTCCTTTATGCAAAAAAAAGTATCTAGGGGAGAAAGAGAGGGATGAACTGGAAGTTTCGGTTTGGTAGATGCAAACTATAACATTTAGGATGGATAAGCAACCAGGTCCTAATGTATAGCACAGGGAACTATCTTTAATATTCTGTAATGCCATAAAGGAAAATATTTTTTTAAAAAACAATGTGTACGTGTATAAACTGAGTCACTTTGCTGTACTGAAGAGATTGGCACAACATTGTAAATCAACCATACTTCCTTAAAAAAAATAAAATATTTTTTAAATCTAGGGAATTCCCTGGCGGTCCAGTGTTTAGACCTTGAGATTTCACTTCTGGGGCTGAGTTCCATCCTGGTTGAGTTGCAAAATTCCAGCAAGTCTCACGGTGTGGCTGGAAGAAAAAATACTATGAAAACGTGACCAAAAATGTTAGCATTTGTTCGTTCTGGGTGATAGGATCACAGATGCTTGTTCCGTTATAAACGGTACTTTGCAGTAATTTAAAAAAAAAAAAAATTCTTCAAGACTGGGCCTGGGTACTGGCGCCACCTTGTGGCCACAGTTATTATCTAGAATTTAGGACATTGACAAAGTTTGTGCACCTAAATCTGTCATTTCGGTCATGGAATAATACAGTCTTAGACGTCCTTTGGAGCTTCCCTGGTGGCTCAGAGGTTAAAGCATCTGCTTGCAATGCAGGAGACCTGGGTTCGATCCCTAGGTGGGGAAGATCCCCTGGAGAAGGAAATGGCAACCCACTCCAGTATCCTTGCCTGGAGAATCCCATGGACAGAGGAGCCTGGTGGGCTACAGACCACGGGGTTGCAAAGAGTCGGACACGACTAAACAACTTCACTTTCAGATGCCCTTAACATTTGAGGGTAGAGAGGGACCTTTAAGGACGCTCAGTTTTTTCTTGATTACTTCTAGCCATGGGGTGCTCCCTCCCTCCCTCGAGAGAGAAAGCTTGTGCCATAATGGGACAGCTGAGTCTTAGGAAGTCTTCTATCCCAAGCCTCCATGCCTGTCAGCACACAGGGGACCACGAAGAACATTTCAGGACAGAGGTGGGGAACCCAGGGTCCAGGGGGGCTGGGAGGCCTGCTCAGAGCTGCTCTCACAGGAGCCATTAACCATCGGGTTAGCTGAGGGTGGGGCGTTTTCTCTTTCATTCACTGTTGTGTCCTCAGCATAGCTTACTGCTGCTGTTGAATCGCTAAGTCGTGTCCGACTTTTTGTGACCCCATGGACTGCAGCCCACCAGGCTCCTCTGTCCATGGGATTTCCCAGGCAAGAATACTGGAGTGGGTTGCCATTTCATCCTCCAGGGGATCTTCCCAACCCAGGATCAAACCCGCGTCTCCTGCACTGGCAGGCAGATTCTTTACCAGGAGCCACCTTTTGTTCACCGCTGTGTCCTCAGCATGCATTACATTGCCATAAATGAATGAATGAACAAAACAGCCCAACCATCAGCAGTTGCGGGCCAATCACTTATTCTCAGTAATAATTTTTTTTAAAGATTTTTGATGTGGACCCTTTTTAAAGTCTTCATTGAATTTATGACAATACTGCTTCTGTTTTAGGTTTTGGTTTTTTGGCCGTGAGGCAGGCGGGGTGCTGTCTCCCTGATCAGGGATCAAGCCTGCACCCTGTGAAGTGGAAGGCGAAGTCTTAACCACTGCATCACCGGGGAAGCCCCATGGGGAATAAGTATTAAAATGACCGACATTCGCTGTGGGACCGACAGGTCCCACTGTTCGCCAGGCACTGCTTCAAGCTCTGCAGGTTCACTGATTCACACAAAACTCACCATGACCCTGGGAGTGAAGTGAGTGTGATCAATACTCCCCAACTTGCTAACGGGAAAACTCAGATCTTCAGGGACTGGCTCGAGAAACAGCCCCACCAGGATTTGCCTCGGGGAAGACTGGATTTTCCCAGAGGCTCAGAGCTGGGGAGGAAACTAGATGGGAGTCACCGGCTCTTTACAGGTAACGAGGCAGGGAGCCGGTGCTAATCACACGCCCACCTGGAGAAAGACCAGCATGGACAGTGGCGCGTTAGGGTTTATCCCTTGTCAAGATTTTCAATTCCTCCACCTTTGCGGGGTTTGGGGGTGAACGGTGGCGCGGGGACCTGCAACTTTTCTTCTGGGTCCTCTTGGTGGTTCAGTTTGAGGCTGGCCAAGGGAAAAATCAGCGGGCAGCAATTCGCATCTCACTCCCATCGGCGAACGGGCACAACCAGCGCCAAGTCTCTGTCCTCTAAGTCTGGCTCCCTGGCTGGCTGCTTGCATGTCCGATCAGCAGCACGTCTCCCGTGCGGCCCCGCTTCCCTAGCCCTCCGCCACCCCCCCACCCCCAGTTCTGGCCTCCATCACCTCCTGCTTGGACTCCTGCAGCTCCCAGCTGGTCACCAGCTCCAGCCACTGCCCCGGCCAAACCTCATCCTCCCACGAGCCTGTTTTCCATCTCGCTGAAACCCAGTTCTGTGCAGACACCTCCACGGCCCTTACTGCAAAGAGCGTGAAGTCTGAACTCCCGCTGCTGCTCCAGGCCTGCCACTTGCAGGCCACCTCCTTGGCATCACAGCCCAGCTTCCTGCTGGCTCTCCAAGCAGCCTCTTACTAATTTCTTTATGTGGAAGTGAAAGTGAAGTCGCTCAGTCATGTCTGACTTTGCAACCCCATGGACTATAGCCCACCACGTTCCTCCGTCCATGGAATTTTCCAGGCAAGAGTACTGGAGTGGGTTGCCATTTCCTTCTCCAGGAGATCTTCCCCACCCAGGGATTGAACCTGGGTCTCCTGCATTGTAGGCAGATGCTTTACCGTCTGAGCCCCCAGGGAAGCCTTTATTTCTTTAGGTATCTATCCATTTATGCCCCACCTGTTTCATACACAGGATGAATGAAGGCAGCTGCTAATCAAGACTTATTCTGCCAAGAGGATGCTCGGGTCTCAGAGGCTTAGTACCAAGGACACCACCCCTGGAAGTCCTCCATTTGAACCTGGTCCCTGAGTGCTTTCTCTGTGCCCTCCAGTCAGCCCCCGCCTCCAGTTGTGTGGAAGGACCCGAGTTTGTCCCTTCCTGACGGGCAGGTCCCTGAGGGCTGCGTGCAGGGGACACACACTTTTCTCTGACCCAATTCCACAACAGGGGACAAAGGACCACCCAGGATCTTTGTGTCCTGAACAGCTGCAAGCAGCGCCATTCTGCACTTGGGACGTCCACAACCTACACAACAGCGAAGAGCAGCCGGGCAGGGGAAGCGTGGTGCCCGGGAGAAACCAGGTGTGTTCACACCACTGTCAGCACCAGAGGGCGCGAGGTTGGAATCCGGGCACCACTCTCTGCCAGCAGGCGCAAAGCACTCCCAGAGCAAAAAGGCACTCTCTTCACATTTGCAAAAGGAAGATCCTCCATGGATGAGAAATGATACAGCTTCCCGGGTGGCGCTAGTGGTAAAGAACCTGCCTGCCAATGCAGGAGACGTAAGAACCACAGATTCGATCCCTGCGCTGGGAAGATCCCCTGGAGAAGGAAATGGCAAGCCACTCCAGTGTTCTTGCCTAGAGAATGCCATGGATGGAGGAGTCTGGTGGGCTACAGTCCCTAGGGCCGCAGAGAGTCGGCCATGACTGAAGCAACTTGGCAGGCATCTACAAACTGCCTGGTGCGCTGGTTACAGCAACACGTGTGAGGAAGAAAGGGGCAGAGAGTTCTCCCGCCAGCTGCCTGGCCTCAGTGGAGAGTCTGGGAGCCCCAACTTCCATAGCTGGGGAAGCCACATGCAGGTAATGATACCAAATCCGTAGGGTCATTTTGAGGGGAAAAGGACCCCAAGCATTGTCAAGCACCCAGTCCGGCACATAGTAGGTGATCAACAAAAGGAAAGATTGAAGGTGGGAGGAGAGGGGGACAACAGAGGATGAGATGGCTGGATGGCATCACAGATTCGAGGGACATGAGTTTGAGCAGGCTCCGGGAGTTGGTGATGGACAGCGAGGCCTGGCGTGCTGCAGTCCACGGGGTCGCAAAGAGTCGGACACAACTGAGTGACTGAACTGAACTGAACCAACGGCAGTTCCTAAGATTATGAGAAGAGTGATTCAGCCAGACTGCCTGGGTTCAAGTCCTGTTGGAGACTTTTCTCAATCCCTAGGCAAGTTACTTAATTCCTCTGTACTTCTGATGCCTCTTCTATAAAATGAGGGCAGTAACTGCAACGCAAGCGAGTGGTGAGGGTGAAGTGAGTCAATTTACAAAAAGTACTTAGCAAAGCATCCCACTTTGCATATCAGTCTGTAACCACTGCTTCTGTCTGTTTCCCCTTCTCCTGAGGCCAAGCCAGGCTGGGGCGACGGGAAGGGCTTTGGCCGGCTCACTCTGAGGGTAGGAGATGTCACAGGCCCAGGGGGTCAAAGGTCATAGTCAGAAGACGGGTTCTCGAGGCCCACCCAAGGTACATGTGAGGCCAGAAACAGCCTCCGCAGGAAGGAGGTGAGGAACCAGGAGCCGGGAGGGGCTGCAGGGAAGCAGGGACCCCTAGGATGTGGGGGGGCTGCAGACCAAGCTCTGCCTTGGGGGTTCTCCCAGGGCTCGATGCGCAGCCCTCCCCTTGGGGCGCCCTGGGTCAGCAGAGAACACGGGCGTTGAAGGAATTTATTCACGAGAAAACTCAGGGTCCCTCGGGGAGACAGTCTACTGGTTACAAGCTCCAGAAGCTCTTGTCGGGTCAGCCGTGAGGGCCGGGGCTCCCCCTGGCAGGGGGCTGGGGGGCCGGCAGGGGCCCTGGGGCAGAAGAGCGGATGCAGGCAGCTGTGGGTGCTGAGGGGGGTTCCTCCCTTCCCGCCTGCCAGCCCCCACCCCGGGACCCCCGCCCCCTCTGGGGCTAAAGTGCAGCTGGGAGGCGGGGGCGGGGCCGGCCGCTGGAGCACCTCGGGGGCCACGGGCGCCCCACCAGCCCTCGCGCCTCCTCTCCTTCCTTTCTTGAGGCTCACCCCGAGTCCACACCCCACCACGTCTGTCCTGGGAACCCTCTGGGTAAGGGAGACCCCTGCCCACCATCAGATGTGCAGAGAGAGTTCCCCAAGAGGGGGAGGCTGGCTCCATCAACTCCGAGGGGCCTGGAACAGGGAGTAGGGCACTGAGATCTGGGGGGGAGGGGGGGAGGGGTGCTGTCTGATGGACGGAGTCATCCCCTCCCCCCAGCCCAGAAGGCCCCTCCACCCCTGCCTCCCGCCACCCCCAGGGAAGCCGAGGAAACCAGCGAGCCTGGCTCCCCGCCCCAGGGCCAGGAGTCAGCGGGGGCCTGCCCAGGCCTGACTCCCAAGGACAGGAGGGCCACCTCAGTGCCACCAGGAGATGCTGCTCTGGGGGCCGGGGGTGGGGGGTGGGCCTTGGCACAGTTTGGATGGCTTCGCCAACTCAGCAGCCTAGCCCACGACCCCTCTCCCCACCAACCAAGGGCATATATCTCAGAGGCGGTCAGGAAAAGAGCTCTCCCGCCCCGCCCCGAAAAAGAGCCCTGAAGATCTCCACCCCTGCCCCCCACTCTGCAATATATTAAATTGGGCAGCTTGGCCCCAGCCCCACCCCCTTCAGATCTCCATGGCAACCGGGAAGCGTTCCAAGTCCAAGTCTGAATCCAAGTCCGACCAGTGCCAAAGGTGGGGCTTCAGCCTCTCCCCCCAGCTCTTCCCCGGGAGGGCGAGACCCCCACATTCCACAGGGAGCGGGAGGGGAGGAAGACTCGGGGGGCCTCAGTCCTCAGCCCCCTCTTCCTCGGCGTGGGGGGCCCCGGGGGGGTCCTCGGGCTCGGGGGCCTGCCCGCCGGGATGGGGGTGGGCGTGGGCGCCAGGCTGGGTGCCCTGCGTGTCCTCCGCCTGCACGTAGACGCTCAGCCCCTCGTGGCTGGGCTCCTTGCCGCACGCCTGGCAGCTGCAATGCAGGATCTTCTCCACCAGCTTGTCCACCCGGGGCACCTCCTCGTGGCCGGGGCACTCCAAGGTCACCTGGGCAGGGCGGATGGAAGAGGAGCGGCGTTTCCAAGGGCTTGGGCAGGCAGGGAGGCCCCAGGGGCAACCCGCATCAGGGAACCAAGAATCACCCCAGAGGCCCCGGAAGCCTGAGCAGCCCCCCCAGGGCACTTGGGCACAGTCGGGGTGGGGGGGGGGTGGAGACGAGGGTGTGAGTCCCTGCAGGAGCCGCCTGGCCTGTCTCCCCATGACCTGCCACCTTCCTCCCTAGCCCCAGGCAGCCAGAAGACCTCTCCAGGGGACCCGAATGGCCCGCCCCTGCCTGAAACCGGTCCCCAGGGCTCCCACTGCCTGACTCCTCACAGGCCTCCTGCCATAGACTACGCCCCCAGCCTTGACCTTGCCCCTCTCCCACCAGCTCCCTGCTGCCTCATCTGCCCAACATTTTGCACGTGCTGTTCCCTCTGCCTGGAAGGGCCTGGCCCACCCACCCCGCTCCCCGCTGCCCCAGACTCTGCCCACTTAACTTCCCCTGAACCTCTGGGTCTAAGCCCAGACACTGCTTCTTGGATACGCCCCTTCAGCCCCCCACCCCACCCTCACCGGCCCTCCACGCGCGTGCTCGTGCACACACATACACACACACACAGACCGAGGCTCGCCCCAGATGAGCCCACTTAAGCGTTCATTAGCCACCATTCCTTTTTCCTTTCCTCGTCTCTCCCTCCTTCCTCCAAACACCTTCTCCATGCCAGCTCTGCAGACGTGCCAGCTCTGAAGGCCAGGCCTGGTCCTTTAAGGAACTCAGAGTCTAGCAGAGGACGCAGACTTGAGAAGTGAAACTCTGTGCGTGTGAAAGATGCTCAAAACAGGGGAACACAGTGCTTGGGGGATCCGGAACGGGGCTGAGAAAAGGCTCCCGGGCCAAGAACAGAGGAACGCCTGGAAGTTAACCAGGTGGGGAGGGGGAGAAAGGGATGCTGAACAGGGCAAAGGGCAGGCGCAAAGGCCCTGCGGTGATCGCCAGCCAAGTAGGTATGGGAGCCTGAGAGGAGGCGGGTTGGCGTCAGGGCTCAAGCCGGTGGGAGAGGCAGGATGACGCTGAGAAGCCTGGTGAGCCAGAGCACAGCTTGTGGCTGGGCTTTAAGGGGCACGGCGGAGGTCTGGGTCTCACTCTCTAACAGCGGGGCGCCCCCGAGAGGATTTCAACAAGCGACTGATGTCAGAACCACGCTTCCGAAAGAGCTCCTATCCTGCACGTGCGCTGTCAGACGCGTGTACCCCAGCGCCAGCCCCGAACCCTGCCCCCCGCGGGGCCCAGGCTCGGGGGAGGCCAGGCGCGGCGGGCTGTACTCACAATCTCCCACATGGACTGGGCCGGCATGCAGGAGTCGCAGTGCACCAGGGACTCCGTCGACTGCGGGAAGGTGTTGGGGACGCTGTAGCTGAAGCACTGTCCCAGGCAGGCCCTGCGAGAGGAGAGACTGCTGTCCATGTCGCTGCGGGCAGCCCGTCACCTTCCTCCCCTCTGGGCCCCTCTGTGGACCCCGCCCAGCCACCGCCTCCTGGGGTCCCACCTGTTCTGGATGGACTTCGCTTCACAGCCGCTGTGGCCCACAATCTGGGTGATGTTCTTCGCCTCACACCAGGCGCTCTTATCCGGGAACAGGGCCAGCTTGTTGATGGGCGGAGGCGCAGCCAGCACCATGACGGGCAGGACAGCCCCCACCAGGACCCGCAGCATCGTGCCCGCGGCCTCTGGAGCCCTAGGACTGAGCACAGACCGCAGGTGAGGCCGGCAGGGCCCCGGGGGCTGGGCAGAGGGCGGGCGCAGTGGCGCCACAGGTGTGCCCGCCGACCCCGGACTCCCTGGGTTCAAGCCCTATCTCTACCACTTCCCAGCCAAGCACAACCTTGGACAAGTTGTTTCTCCTGTAGGAACCTCAGACCTGGGGCTGCTAGTACTAGGAGCACCAGATGGGTATCATGGAGATTAAATAAGGTATTTCATGAAAAGCTCTGAGCAGAGAGACTAGCAGCTAATACACACTCCATATGTGTTAGCTGTCTTTATAACTTACTTTGTAGCTTTGAAGTAAGTTACTTTTCAGTCATTTCAGTTCAGTCCTGTCTCTGCAACCCCATGGACTGCAGCACATCAGACCTCATCCTATGTTGTGCCCTTCTCCTCCTGCCCTCAATCTTTCCCAGCATCAGCGTCTTTTCCAATGAGTCAAATTTTCACATCAGGTGGCCAAAGTATTAGAGTTTCAGCTTCAGCATTAGTCCTTCCAATGAACACCCAGGACTGATCTCCTTTAGGATGGACTGGCTGGATCTCCTTGCAGTCCAAGGGACTCTCAGGAGTTACTTTTAACACTCATGTATTTATCTGGCTGCACCGGGTCTGAGTGGTGGCATGAAGGATCTTCGATCATTGCAGCGGCACGTAGGATCTAGTTCCTGACCGGGGACCAAACCCCGCCCACCACATTAGGAGTGCAGAGGCCCAGCCACTGGGCCATCAGGGAAGTCCCGAGCAGATTACTGTTTATCTCTGGACCTCACTTTCTTCACCTAAAAAGGGGGGCGCTGTAAAAGGGGCGGGGTGATGCCCTGTGACAATGGACTGTGGCAGGTACTAAAGCCGTTTGCAAGCACCCCGTTGAGTACTGAGCAGCCACTAGCCCCCTCCTCACTGCTCTGCTGGGGGTCCTCCAGGGCCACGTCTCCCGTCCCCGTGGCTGCCGGCACTCCGGCATCAGGAAAGCTAACCATCTCTGTGCCACTGTGAAATCTCGTGCCACTTCGGCCGGCTGAACGTCGGGTGGAAAAAAAAAATCCAACCCCGAACTAGACTGTATTTCTCTTCTGGATGCTTCAAGTCCAGAGTCAACACACATATCACTGTCTCCAGCTCCAATCTACCCCAAGTCAAATAAGAGACAATCCAAGCCAGGGGCCTGACCCTCCGAGTTGCCTGGAGCGAGGCATGGAGGCGATACTAGGATCTGTCAGCAGAGGGCGCTGCAGGGCAGCGTGTGTGTCCGAAGGGCGGGCTCAGAGAGGATTTTCCCAGCGTCCCCCTGCTTCATCCTCTGGAGGTTTCACCGAGGACCCCACTGCAAAAACCGTAGAGGAGGGAAGTTTCAGAGAGGTTCGGAAATGAGGGCAATGCTTACAAGGCGCTCCTCTGGGGGCAGGACACTGGGGAAAGGCACTGGGCTGGGGATCAGGCATCCACATGGGCCGGGAGACCCTGGACACTCCAGCCTCAGGGTCCCCACCTATAAAATGAGTGAGGTGCCCTGGACTGCTGATTTTCAAACCTGGCAGAGCATCAGAATTCCCTGGGGACTCGTGGAGTGGAAGTTCTAGGGTGGGGTGCCTTTTTTTTTTACAAGCTTCCATGGTGGTTCTGATATGCAGGGCGGGCTTAAGAAGTGGTCTGGCTCAGTCCAACTGGGGTTCTGTGCCTCGAGGCAGTCCCCAGAGGGGCCTGGGTGGGGCCACTGGGAGCATAGGCCAAGTACGGTGCCAGCGGCCCCACGGATGCCCGGTACTAGTCAGGCTAGCCAAGGCCTGGACACCTCCTTCAGAACCACCCTGACCCTTGGCCCACTTTCTGCTGAAAGGGGCAGGTACTTGGTGAAAAGCTGGAAAGTGAGAAGTGCTCGGGGATCTTGCTGGCTCCTGCAGGCTGACCCGATGGGCGGGCTCCGTGGGGCTTCCAGGGCGGACCCGGGGGCTGGCCTGCAGGGCTGCAACCACCTCCACAGGGCTCCGCTCCTCCATCCAAAAGGTTCAGCTCAGATTCTGCCCCCACTCCCTGCACGCGGTCCCCGGAAGCAGAGACAAGTGCCATCTCGCTGGATCCCAGAGCCTGGGGGATCCCTGCTCCCAGCCCAGCGGGGAGGGCTGCAGCGGGCAGAGTGGGGAGGTGAGTCCAGACGGTCTGCCCCATCCCAGGGCAGTCTGCGCCTGACCCAGGCCCTCGCCCACACATTTCCGGTCTCACTCCCAAGACCAACAGCTAAGCCCGTGTTTTCAGGACAGCCACAACCTAAGAAAAGAGAACGGACGTGTTCCTAACTGGCGACCTAATTTTCCAACACCCTTGGCACCCAGGAGGCTCCATCACCCCACTAACTCCCTTCCCATCCCCAGGCACTCAGGCGCTGAGTCAGGGTCCGAGCCCAGCGCCGGCGGAGGCCCACCTAAGGGGTTCCCTGGGGCGCCCCGGCGAGACCTCGGAGAGTCCAGGGGCTTTTGTGCGATGCCTGACCCCTGCAGGGCGCCTCACAAGGCCAGGTCAGGCGGGCAGGGAATGACGGTAGGCTCCCTTAGGACGGGAGTGAAGCCTGGGAGCAGAAGCCGGGCAGAGGTGAGCGCGGGGCTGGCTTGGGGCTGGGATGGGGAGATGCTGGAACTGGGGCTGGGGGCCGGGACCCCACTAAGGGACTGAGATGGGCATGAGGTTCACAACAAGGCTCAGCGGAGGTGGGATGACGATGCTTCAGGAGACCTGCCACCCTGGAGGGTGAGGACTGGTCCCACGCGTCAGGTTGTAGCAGACGCCGAGGAAGAACAAGAGACGCCGAGGAAGAAACCGCCTCTCTCAGCTCTGCATCCCCTCTCCCAGTCTCGGGCACAGCTAAGGGCCAGCTGGGCCCACAGTGGGGCGCTCCAACCCACTCCGCCAGGCCCGGCCTCTCCCCACGCCCCGGCCCGGCCACGCTCAGCCTCCCCAAGCCAGCAGCCCTGAGCTCCAACAGAAGCTCGGCCCAGGAGCCTCCTAAGTTCCGGCCCCAGGCCCCCCACCTAGGAGCCACACGGGTCCAGTGGTACAGTTCGCCTCTCTGTGCCCAGCGACCTCAGCCCCACGACAGGAGCGGAGCCCCGTTCTTGAAAACCACGGCCAGGATGCGATGGGAGCAGCCCGCAGGCACCCCACTCAGGAGGGTGCCCTTCCCCCGGGGCGTGAAGAGGAGGCTGGGCTGGCATCAGAGCCAAAGCCAGGAGCTGGGCCAGGAGACAGGGAGCCCACCCTCCCACCCAGCCCCCAAGAACCCCTGCTGCCCCCCACACTGGGGCCAGCTCTTCGCTAGCAGGTTTTATGTTTGGTTGGCTTGTATTTTGTTTTTCTAAGCAGCAGCTCAGTTGTTTGGCTGTGGGTTTTTTTGATACAACAGTCGGACCTTCCTTCCTGAGACTTGAGAACCTCCCCCGGCTCTCACACAAGTCATGGGTCGCCCAGAATGCCAGAGGGGGAAGGGGGTCCCCCCAGGCTGACCCCCGTGTTTTGCAGAGGGGTGGTCCCAGGGCCCCCAGCGGTCAGGCCGAGCAGTGTCCTTCCTCTAGACCATGCGGTTCCCTGCAGTGGGACGCTGGTCTCCCAAGCACCCTCTGGGGGGCAGAGAGCGGGCTGAGGTTGGGGGCCCCCAGGGGTTCAGAGCCTGGAAGGGGAGGTTGAGGGAGGCGGGTAATGAGCAAGCAGCTGTTCCGAGCAGCAGTAGGACAGCTGGAGTCGGGGGGGCAGGCGGAGAGTCTCAATTCTGGACTGAACTCAGGAGTATAGTTAGTTACTAGCACAGTAAGACCAGGGGGCGTTGTGGGTGTTAGCCCAGCACACCCCCTCTTTGCTTCCCCGCAGTTAGAGCTGCTCCTGACTGTGGGCCAGGCGCTGTTCTAAGGCTTACAGTGAGTGAAGTCGCTCAGTCGTGTCCGACTCTTTGTGACCCCACAGACTGTAGCCTACCAGGCTCCACCATCCATGGAATTTTCCAGACAAGAGTACTGGAGTGGGTTACCATTTCCTTCTCCAGGGGATCTTCCCGACCCAGAGATTGAACCCAGGTCTCCCGCATTGCAGACAGACACTGCGCCACCAGGGAAGCCCTGTAAGGCTTATATATACATATGTATATATATATATATATATATATATATATTCATTTATTCAGTTCTAGGAAACAGATACTGTATTTTCCCCATTTCACAGATAAAGAAACGGAGGCACCGGGAGGTTAAGAGATTTGCTCAAGCTGACTGACACAACTAGTGTTGACTAAAGCCAAGGTCTGACACAGACAGCAGCAGGATAACCTCGGAGAGGCTCACAGAAGCGGAAGCCAAGGAACGATCCGGAACACGCAAGAGGCCAGGGCTCCCCACCCCGGCCCAGCAGCGGAGGCTGTGTCTCTTAGGCCGAGCAGCTCTCTGGAGTTTAGCCACAGCCAGGGCTGGAAGCTTGGGCGCCCCACAAGGCAGAGGTCAAATCCCACTCCGGACCCCCTGCAGACGGGTGTGTGGCCATGGTAGACCCCTACTCCCTGGAGCTTCCAGCCTTCCTCAGAGCTGTGAGGGGGCCACAGTGAGGGCATCCCCAGCCCAGCATGGGAACCTTCTTACCACCCCAGGAGGCTGCCAGCACCACAGGGAGATGTTCCCTGGGGGGGGGGGGGGGGCGAGGGGACACAGGCCAACCCAGCAGCAGGGAGACTGAGGCACGGAGCAAGAAGTGGCAGCCTGTGTCTCCCACTCGGGGACGAGGGCAGGGAAAAGACACAGACCACCTGCCCTGGAAGCTTCCTGGGCAGAGGCGGGGTTGGGGCAGCAAGGACGCCGGCTTCCGAGTCAGGCCTGCTGGTCCTCACACCCTGCAGAACCCGGCATCTTCCCCGAGATGCTTACCAACAACTCAGGCACCCGGCCCAGCCCTGGATAAGCCGACCTCACAGTTCAGACCCAGGCGCATGAGCCCAGTCCCATGTGGAGCTGAGGCCCGGTCAGATCAGGAGCACCCCAGCTCCCCAGGGAAGGGTCCCCAGAACAGCACGTCTGACAGCAGCCACCCCCCACGCCCGCCCGGGCCTAGAGCCTGCCATCAAACCTTACATTCACCAGAGGGACTTGGGTTTCAGGAAGACCCCGGGCCCGCCCCTTCCCGCTGCAGCGGGCCCAGCGCAGAGCGGGGTCAGCGCCACCAAACACGGGAACCACCACCCTCTCCGCTTCCTCTCCTGGATAAATCTGAGTGTTCAGGGTCCTTAAGGCCAGGTAATCCAGCACCGTCTTGGTACGATGGTCCACTCACCCCCAGACGCACACACAGGGGCAGCACAGGCTTCCTTAGCAGAAGGCAAGCCTGTCCCCAGCTTCCACGGCTGCCTTCCCGAACCTCCTCTGCAAACCTCTCCACTCAAGGCTGGCGGGTCCTCCCTCTGGGCGCAGGTGACACCTGGATTCGCACAGAAGGCAGCGGGGTTTCTGGGGACTTGTTTCCCAAATGGATCAAACCGGATGCCCCCAGTCTCTAGCCCTCCCCATTTTCCTCCTCCCCCCACCCCCCCAACACACACAAAGCAAGGTGTCTGGGTCTCCTCCATTCACAGCTGAGGCTGTGACAGACCCTAGTTCAAACCCTAGCTCACCCACTTGAACCTTTTTATTTTTTTTCCATTGGCCACTGTGCAGCTTGCGGGACCTCGGTTCCCTGAACTGGGACGGAACCCAGGCCCCTGGCCATCAAAGCACCAAGCCCTAACCACTGGGCCGCCAGGGGATTCCCTCACCTGGGCCTTTCTGTGTCTCAGTTTCCTGTCTGCAGGATGGGGGCACCTCTCAGGGCAGCTGTGAGAGTTAAACTGCAGAGTGCGCAGAAATTTCAGGAGAGGGCGCCCGGCACAGGCGGTGCTCAGCAAACGTCCCGGGAGCACCGGCCTGGAGTCACTCTGGGCTACTCACCCTCTCTGAACCCTGCCCACGCCCTTCTGCCTCCACGCCCCCCACCCCCGCTGCCTCCCTCCCACCAGATCCCCAGCGGGCCCCAGAATATCTAAACCCAGGGCTGCGTCTGCCTTGAAGGAACTGAATTTAGGGGAAGAAACTCAGGCAGAGGAAACGACGGCTGGGTGAGGGTTTTCTGCTTGCCAGGGTGGGTGCAGAGGGGAAGACCCCACTCAGATCTAATCCTTGGGCCCCTGGCTGAAGGGCCAGGGTCCCTGAGAGACCAGCAACTTTGTGAAAACAGGCGGGCCCAGCAGCCAGGCCGCACGCTGCCGGTGCGGAGGGCGTGGCGTTCCCGGCCGCGGCCCTGGGCTGGGTGACCAGCAAGGGCGAGGCAACCACCGCAGGTCCTGGAAGGAGTGTCTGCCGGGACTTCCTCGAATGGGGCCACTGAGGGCGGGTGGCGGCAGGCTCAGACCCCTGGCCCCGATCTGCTCCGCAGGCCCTCTCTGGGGTCCGGGGACAGATTCGGGCCCAAGCTCATCCTCTGCCTCGCTGTGTGTGCCTGCGAGCAGGACAGGACCACAGTTAGGGGCCAGGCCACTGACCACTGGTTTCACCTGCCCCAGCCTCCCATTTGGTCCCGTGAAATGGGAAGCAGGGCCTGGCAAAGTCTATCTTAGCAGATGGTCTCAAGAGAAGTCCAGCTCCAGCATGCTGCTTAGAGCCACTGTGACTCCATGACCCCCGGCAGTGCAGCGTGGCTTCCTTCCTACCGTCAGCGCTGGCAGAGCACATCTGAACCCCCCGGAGGTGGGGGGGAACACACGAAGGGCCAGGCCCAGGCCCAGAAGGCCTGCCTGCCTCGCTGGGCAGCTCCACCTCCCTGGCTTCGCCCCCGCCCCAACTCAGACCACGGCCCTCCTGCCCGCAGACCCTCCTGGCCACAAACTGTCTCCAAAACAAATCGATGCTAATGACCGGCTGCAGGGCCCGCCTAGACAGACATCTGCTCGGCAGAAGTCCCACTGCTGCGGGTACCCGCGTCCCCGCCCGCCCCGCCGCCTGCGACCCCAGGGGCTGGGGGTGGGGAGAAAGCGCTAACTCACTTGGAAATTTCACTTTAAAGGATGAAGATAGCTCCGCGGGCAAACGCACATCTTCCCGGGCCCACCCTCCAGCACACAGGCCCAGGAGAAGGAGGTCCAGTTTAGGGGATGCGGGGGGTCGAGGGGGGGGTCACCGATGCTCTAGCCTCGCCTTTTCTTTGGCCCCAACTAGGGGCAAACCACACCCAAGCAGCAGCCCCAGCATCTGGAGGAGTTTCAGGAGGCCCGTGGTTGCCACAGTAACAAAGGGTGAGGGGCTCCTTGTTGACAAATTGCTTCCCCACCCCCCAAGGCGGCCAGCTGCCCCCTCTGCTGCGTCTTGTAAAAGATCCGAACCGCCCCGCCCAGGCAGCGGGGCGGGCAGGTGGCCGGCAGCACGGCCCAGTTGTCCAGGCCGCCTCGCGGGGGTGGAACTCAAGGAAGCTGAGCCCCCGGAAAGGCCGACTCCCCTGCCCCTGACTAAGTTCCAGGGAGACGACCCCCACCCCCGGCCCGGCCCCGGGGGGCAGGCGGAAGGCAGGGGGAGGCTTTCGCTCCTTTCCCCGGGTCTAGGGAACTGTTCCCGGACTCCGCTGGGGGGCCCCGGGCCTCCGATCCGGTGGGGGGTGGGATGTCTGAATTCGAGGGTGGGGGGCACCAGGGAGACGCACAGACACCGGGAGACAGAGAGAGCGAGCAAGAGGCTCCCACCGCGGGGCGGGCGGAGGGCGGAGGGCAAACAGAAAGGCAGGCACCAGCCCAGGGAAACGGGAAACGGGCAGGAGGGAGAAACAGAAAGAAAGCGGCAGACCCAGAGGACTAGGGGAACGGAAATCGAGAGACGGAGACAGCCAGATGGGAAGACAGACGCCTGGAGACAGAAAGGAGGCAGCAACGTCCCGGAGAGAAGAGGCTCGCGGCGCGGCGAGGCCCCCGGGGCAGAGCCGGGGAAGACGCGCGGGCCCCGGCGGCCGAGCTCCGGGCGCTGCCCCGGCGCCCGCGCGGCCCGACCCGGCCCTCCACCCGCCCCCCGGCTTCCTCTCGGCCGCGCACCCCCTTGCTCGGCCGCGGATCTCCGACCGAGCGATGGAAAACCCCGGTGAGGCGGGGGGACCGGCTCGGGGCGGCCGGGGCGCTCCATGGCCACCCCGCGCCGTGCCCGCGTTCCCCCCGGCCCCGGCGTNGGTCGGACGCGGTCCGACGGCGCAAAGGAGCTACCGGGGGGTGCCCCAGAGGCGGGGCCGAGAACCCGGCGCCCCCCGATCGTTCCTTTAAAGCACCCTCCGCCGGATTTCTCAGCGCTCGGACTGCTCTCCGCCTCCCGTTCCCCTAGCCCGGGGCTACCGGGCCGCGCCGGGCCGCCGGGTGACAAAGATGGAGGGGCGCTCCTTTTTCTGGGAACTGGGCGCTGCTGCCTTGCTCCGAGGGCGTGGCGCCCCAGCCCCGCGAGCCGCGCGCCAAACCCGACCCGTTCCCGGCTCACGACCGAGGCCGGTCTGAGCTCTTTAGATTCCGGTGGCACCCGACCTCCGCCGGGCCTCGCCTCCGCTCTGGACACTTGGTTTACGCGTGCAGAGAAGGGTCTGAGAGTCCCAAGGAGGATCATTCCGAGTGCCAGAAACTGGACTCGCTTCTCCGGCTCCGGGGATGAGCACAGCGCCCAGCGCAGGCGGCCGGCCTCAGCTCCTGGGGGAGGAGGGGTACCGGATGAATCAGGCTGCGCTTGGGCACTCAGGCGCGTTTCGGTCGTGCCCTCTGTTAGGTTCGCCAATGAAGTGAAAAAAAGATCTTTGTTGCTGAGAAGTGGTAGCTCAGGACACGGACCCAGCTGCAGAACTTTGCGTTCTTCTGTAGTGGTTGGTATTCGTGCGTTTCACCCTACCCCGGCTGGAAGCTCCCAGATGGAAGCTGCCCAGCTCACTCGATGCCACTGGTTGCTCAGCATTCTGGTGGTTTCTAGCAGGCTGCTGCTAACTCCATGGTGTAGGCTGGCCTGTCCGCCTCTCCAAACCCGGCACTGTCTCTCCATGCCTCCAAGCTCTTGCTTATGCTGTTCCCCCTGCCTGGGCTGTTCCCCTCCTTTCATCTCCTAGTAAAGACACTCTTCCAGCCCCAGATTGGAAAGCCTTCCCAAGACTCAAGGAGCACAAACCCCTCACTCCTCTGGTGTGATCCCGGAAGCAGTGGGTTCACACCTCTGTTCCTGGTAATTTCCCTCTAGACCAGCTGAGTCGATCTTTTTCCTCTACTTGACCATGGGCTCCTTGAAGGATCACCTGCGTTAGCGCACTTCCCCAGGGCTTGGCAAACAGGGGTACAATATATTTTGCTGAGTTAAGGAACTGTTATCCCCCATAAGTGTTCCCACGAGGATCACTGTAATAGACTCACAACAGCTCAGGCATATTGAGCACCTTCCTATACTAAGTGCCTGGTCCCATTCTAAGCACTTTCCACTCGCACAATAAATCTATGAAATAAACAGTATTGTTGTCCCCACGTCATCAGTGAAAGAACCAAAACCAAGAGAGCGGCTGAGTCACTGGCTTACAGTCACTGGGTAGCGGGAAGGCCAGTGACCATCTGTTGGAGGGACACGTCTCACGGGTTCTCGCTGACTTCCTGGTACACAGCAGGCACTCAGGAAACGCTGACCTTTGTGCTCAACACTGCCACTCTCAATGTGGACCCCTGGTGGGGCAGGGGCTGGACGTCTACACTTCGTAAGTGAAAGTGTTAGTCGCTCAGTCATGTCTGACTCTGTGACCCCATGGACTGTAGCCCGCCAGGCTCCCCTGTCCATGGGATTCTCCAGGCAAGAAAACTGAAGTGGGTTGCCATTCCCTTCTCCAGGGGATCTTCCCGACCCAAGGATCGAACCTGGGTCTCCTGCATTGCAGGCAGATTCTTTACCGTCTAAGCCAGCAGGAAGGCACACTTTGTGAGAACCCACTGCAGGAAGCAAACTGGGAAGCGTCATGAGTTTGTCAAATCATACAGCGAGCCCTTGACAGTTCAGCCACCCAACCATCGAGTCAAGGACATGGGGTTTGGGATTAGGTCACATCTGTCTGGTGAAGACTGGTAATTACAAGAAGGCTACCATGTGAACACAGAGTCTAGAAGGTGACTTGCTAATATTGTCAACAGCTATCACTATGTGCCAGGCATTATGCTAAGCACCATGCTTGCTTTACTGTATGGAGTCCTGACCACAATCCTACCATTATTCCCATTTTACAGATGAGAAAAAATAAGGCATCAAAAGCTTAGTTACAAAAAAGAAAGAAAGAAAGCCTAGTTACCCTCCCAAAATCACACCACTAGTGATGGACAAAGTCCAGACTTGAACCCAGACCCATCAAGACCCCAAAGCCCATGCTCCTCTGTCCACCGCCCCCTCCTGACTGCCTCGGGCACTGCTAGGACCCAGGGTGGTGGGCCCCAGTGGGAAAGGCAGAACCTGTCACGTCAGAATCTCCAAGCGCGCGGAGATGCACCTGGTTGGCAGGCGCGCGCCAGTTGCCCCAACAGGCCTGGCTGGCACCGGGCACAGGCCTGCAGCCAGAGCCTGCTGGCCCCGGGCCAGCCTCTTGGGGCCGAGGCAATGCGGGGCCCAGCTCTGGGGTAGAGGGCTGAAAGCCTCTCTCCCCAGCTCATTAGCAGACATCTGGGCTCAGGAAAATGACCGACCTGGAATGTGACTGGGCTACGGGGAGCTGCTCCCCTCCCGGAGTCCCGGGAATGTGAGCTCCTTCCCGCAGGGCACAGGCTTGGGCCAGCTGTTTCCTCTAATCCCGTCAGCCTGGCCTCGACAGGGGTCCAAAGCTCTGCGCTCTCCCGGAGAGAGAGGGAGAGCGAGCCAGGGCCCTCCTTGCCAGGCTGGTCCGCTGACTCAGAAGGTGGGTACCGGGGCCCAGGAGAGCCATAGTCCCTCCGTCTCCTGCAAGATAAAGACCAA